CCTACAACTTGTATTGAAAACATTTTTCCATAAAATTTACATTTTTCAAGATATTGAATAGTCCCAACTTTATTGAAATACTCTATATATAATGCGAGAAGAATATACTTGATATCAAACTGAAAGCGATATAGAATGTGTAAGTACTTACAGCAATAGTTTTTTAATTCCACGTCATATTTTTCCCAAGTAGCAATATCAGGACTTGTACAATTTGCAATTAAATTAGCACTATTTGCCGTTCGAGGCGGCCACCAACATTGCAACCTATCGTCCTCTTTAATAAGCTAAGCAGTAGGAATTTCTGAATACAAATTATCCACAAAGAATTTAACTACTGCGTAATTCTTTATATCTTGTAGGATATCCATTAGGATATTATCTGTAAAATAGAGAAAAATGTCTCAACAACTAAGTTATAAGAAATATTAAGTGTACACAAAAGTTCTGAGCTTTAGATTTCATACAACCGAAATAACAATTTAAATTTTATATATCTTCCCATCCTTTTGCGATTTTAAAGCGTTGACATTTGGCCTTCTAAAATGCCATACGGTTTGGTGCACATAATCTCAAAAATCAGTAGTGTTCACGATGGCAATAATAAAAGAACATATTCGATTTTCCATCCACTTCACGTTTTATCTGAAGAAAAATGTTGCTGAAGCCACTGCAATGATTTGTGCTGTATATGGAGAGAACGTTGTAAGTCATACTACATGTAAAAGATGGTATCAAAAATTTCGCCAAAGAGATTTCAGTCTTGAAGATGAACCGCGTGCTGGACGCCCTCAAAAGATTGAAATGGACGAATTGCAAGCATTGCTGGATATAAATTCTGCGCAAAATTGAAAAGGAGTTTGCAGAACAGCTTGGCGTTACGCAGCAAATCATTTCCGTACGTTTACATACGATGGGAAAGGTTCAGAAGGAAGGCAGATGGGTTCCGCATGAATTGTCCGAAGACAACAAAAATTGTCGGCGTGACACTGCACTCACTTTGCTTTCAAAGTTCCGGAAAAAAGATTTTCTGCACAAAATCATTACAGGCGATGAAAAGTGGATTCTTTATGATAATCCTAAACGTAGAAAATCATGAGTTTTCCCTGGTCAACCTTCGACATCGACGCCAAAGCCCAATATCCACGCCAAGAAGGTTTTGCTCTGTATCTGGTGGGATTGGAAAGGTGTGTTGTATTACGAGTTGTTACAACCGGGTGAAACAATCACGGCAGACCGCTACCAACAACAATTGACCAATTTGAGCGATGCATTAGAAGAAAAAAGGCCATTTACTGATCAAGGACGTCGTAAAGTTATCTTGCTTCATGACAATGCTCGACCACATGTTGCGAAAACGACTCAAGATCATATCTTTGCATTGCTGGGAACTTCTCCCGCACGCGGCGTATAGCCCAGACATGGCGCCTTCCGATTACTACCTATTCCGGACGCTGCAGCATCATTTGGCTGATACACATTTCGTGAGATTTGAAGAAATACGAAAATGCATTGATGATTTTATCGCTTCGAAGCCGATGAGTTTCTATTGTCAAGGAATTCAGAACCTATCCGAAAGATGGCAAAAGGTTGTTGATGCAAACGGGGAACATTTCGCTGATTAATATTTTTTTTGTTTGTTTTTTTAATAAAGATTGAATTTTACAAAAAATAGCTCAGACCTTTTTTGTACACCTAATACATACATACATACATACATACGTACATACGTACATACGTACATACGTACATACATACATACATATGTATATACATATATATATATACGTATAAACTACAAGAAATACGTGCATACATACATATATATGTATAAAACTATATATAAAAATATATATACATGTATATATTTTTACATGTATATTACAAAGATATCCGCCAATGTCCCCACGGTAACGTTTCCGTCGAATCCGGTACGATGTATCTTTTGTCATTGTACTCAGAGCGATTTTCGACTCGGACATCGGTATATACTTGATGTAACTTGGATCTTGTACATGATTGACGACGAGTTTCGATCTCTTCATTCAAGCACCGCGTGTAATTGTCGAACGTTATTGTTCGCGCTACGACGTTACTTTTTCGCATCTTTCGACGCATCTTTCGCCTTTTGGTATCCTTTTTGTCATCAACCCTCACCGCGTACATCTTCGCTCTGAGTCCGATGAATTCCGTCATTATCGCACCGTTATTTTCATCCTTCATTAGACCGGGTATTTTTTTATTCATGAGAGGCATCCCATACACGTTGTCCGGCAGATAATCACTCGTACATGATTTTACATTTGTCGCGATATAGGGGTGACATATACTCGTGGTGAAATTCGTACAAGCAGATTTTCGATATGTTGAATATACATATACCGACATAAATCGACTTGTCGAATTTCATCTCGAGTTTACGCAGTTCGACGGCGTTTTCCGCAAAGACGCTGCGGCTGTGGAAATTTGGTTTCGCAATCATTGCCTCGGCGTCCATTTTGTTATCAATTTTATATCCATGTGATTCCGAACATTTTCCATTGTTTTACCGAATACTGCGTTGTTCATTAATTTGTATAAATTTTTCTCAAAATTTTTTCAAAATCATTTTTCGCGGACATTCTAAAGTGTGTATTGAGTTCGATGTAATCGCGGAGCCAAGCGGATTGAGTAAATTGTAATACGCGGTGTATCTTTGCGATACGAAGACCGTGACGTGTACATTGTTGCAGGTGGCGATAGTGGATGACGTACCGCTTCTTGTCATATAACGTCGCGGAAGTTTATCCTGCCGCATGCCGGATGATTTATCGCGCGTCGGACAAAAAGGTAGATCAATGTGTCGGTCGTGCAGATGATGCGGATACTTAAGATCTCAAGAATATAACCCGTAGGCGAATCCGGAGCGATCGCGCTCGCGTCAAAGTTCGCAACGTCTTCAACCCATCGAAATTCGGCATAGAGCAGCGGTTGACACATCGCCCATCTGTATAGATTGTTCACGTCGTAGTACATCAAATACGACGACGGTTTCGACGGGGTCGTACGAACGCGTACTTGTTATTGGCCTGCGCGTATTTGCGTATTTGCCGGAACATTGAATGAGGCCACCGCGTATACCACGCTCGATAAACATAACCATATCGATGTCGGTGAGCAACTCAAATTTTATATACATATGTTTCAACATGGCATCCCACGTGAAA